CCCCATTGCCATTCCTACTCCGGTCAGCAAATTTGTGGGTGTTTGTAGTGATTTGTAGGAAACCCCCCTAATTAATAGTGAGAAGAGGGCTGGTTTGAGTGATGCAATGAAGTGTCGAGTGCAGATTGACTATTTGGTGATTAGGTAAGTGGGTTTGTGCAGATTTCAATGTGGATCGAATGGTTAGTGAGTTCCAAGTAGTGTGGTGAGAATTCAGGTAGTCTTGTAAGTAGGGTTGTGGTGTGGAGAGTGAAGAATTTAGTGGCAAGTGGTGCTGAGTGCAGTGTGGTGAGAGGTGAATAAGAAAGGAATTTTTTTTTTCAAATATGGGAGATAACAGAGAAAACAAAACTAGTGTGATGGTTCCCACCGACTACCTGAATGTTCAGATGACTTCTATCAAGTTGAATGGGGAAAGCTATGTGCCTTGGGCAAAATCTGTAGAAGTCTTTCTCTTAAAGCTAAGAAGAAAGTGAAGCATATAATGGGAAGAAAAACCCTCTACTGAGTCTCATGAGTATGGTGATTGGGAACAAGAGGATGCACAGATTATAACCTGGTTATGGAATAGTATGGAACCCTTTATCTTTATCCTTAGTTTTGTATGTTCCGAAGTTTCCTTTTTACCTTATGTCTGTTAGTAAGTTAACCAAGTCCCTTAATTACTCTATCACTTTTTACCCTTCTTGTGTTTTTCAGGATCTCAAGACGGGGATGAAGATTGGTAGAGGGCATGAAGCTGGTGGACTGTATTATCTTGATGGTGGTGGTAGTGCGTCAACAGCTCTTCATACATCTTTTTCTCCTCTTCAGTGGCATTGTCGATTTGGTCATCCATCACTTAAAGTTTTGAAGTCTCTTGTTCCGTTGTTGAGTCATCTTTCTGTTTTGGATTGTGAGTCATGTCAGTTGGGGAAACATCACCATGTTCCCTTTAGTCCTAGGGTTGATAATCGTATGTTGAGTCATTTTTCTTTAGTTCATTTAGATGTTTGGGGTCCAAATAAAATAATGTCATACAATGGTTATAAATACTTTGTTATTTTTGTTGATGATTATTCAAGGATGATGTGGCTTTACCTAATGAAAGAAAGGAGTGAATTGTTTTCCATTTTTCAAAAATTTTATGCTGAAATTCACAACCAATTTGATGTGCACATTAAAATTCTCCATTCCGATAATGGCCGTGAATACTTTTATACACTATTTCAGGAGTATTTGGAACAATATGGCATTATCCATTAGACTTCATGTACCTACACCTCATAACAAAATGTGGTAGCTGAGAGAAAGAACCATCACCTTTTGGAAACTGCTCAATCCCTTATGCACCATATGAATGTTCCCAAACCTTTTTGGAGTGATGCTGTGCTTACATCTTGCTTTTTGATTAACTAGATGCCTACGCCCATCCTTGAAGGTCATTCTCCCTTCACCACTTTGTTTCCTACATTGTCTCTGTTTCCCCCTACTCATCGGGTTTTTGGGTGTGTCTGTTTTGTTCATAATCTAGGACCGGGAAGGGACAAGTTAGATGTACGATCCACTAAGTGTATCTTCCTTGGCTATTCACGAACCCAGAAAGGGTAAGTGTTATAACCCTAGCTCCTGACGTTCCTTTGTGTGCGCTGATGTTACTTTCTTTGAGTCCACTTCGTTTTTCTCGGGGTCAGGTGATGTTTCTTCTTCCTCACCATCTCCTCCTCTTCCAGTTCTTGTTGCGACCCCATTCCACTTATTCCGGCTATGACCAAATCTTTGCCTCCAGTGCCACTTCTTGTTGAACGACCACCTATTTGTCAAGTGTATACACATCGACAGCATGTACTGTCTCCTCCTCTAGCTCCATCACCGTCGACAGATCCGGTAGTTGTTCCCACACCAGCTCCAACCCTAGTTTTTTATCTTGATCTTCTGATTGCCTTGCGGAAAGGTAAACACAGTTGCACTCTTCATCCTATTTCTAATTATGTTTCTGTCACTCACCTTTCTTCTTCCCATCGCTAGTTTATCTCCCTGTTATCTTGTATTACTGTTTTTACGGATGTCTAGGAAGCCCTTGCCTCTCCAGGGTGGCACCATGCAATGGAAGAAGAACTCTCTGCCTTAACTCATAATCATACATGGGATCTCACCACACTTCCTCCTGCTAAGCAGGCTGTCGGTTGTAAGTGGGTATACACTGTAAGTATTTTCTTGATGGTAGTGTAGAGCAGTTAAAAGCTAGACTGGTTGCCAAAGGGTATTCTCAAACTTATGTTACTGACTACACAGAGACATTCTCTCCTGTTGCTAAAATTGGTTCAGTTCGTGCTGTGATATCTCTAGCTGCTATGTATGATTGGCCTCTTTTTCAGCTTGACATCAAGAATGCTTTCTTACATGGTGATCTACTAGAGGAAGTTTATATGGAGCAACCGTCGGGGTTTGTTGCTAAGGGGGAGGATGGTAAGGTGTGCAGACAAAAGAAGGCCATTTATGGACTTAAACAGTCTCCTCGTGCGTGGTTTGGTAGGTTCAGTGAAGTGGTAAAGAAGTTTGGTATGAAACAGTGTCAGGTTGATCACTCAGTCTTCAGTTATGACTCGTAGGCTGGAAAGATCTTATTGGTGGTATATGTAGATGATATTGTCATTATTAGGAGTGATAAACTAGGAATTGATAGGTTGAAGATCTTTCTGTAGGAACACTTTCAAACAAAGGACCTTGGTAAACTAAAATACTTCTTAGGGATAGAAGTAGCAAGGTTTAAGCATGGTATTAATTTGTGTTAGAGTAAATATGTTCTTGATTTGTTGGAAGAAGCATGATTATTAGGTGCCAAACTAGCTGAAACACCTATGGAATCAAATACTAAGCTTAGCAGTGATATGGGATAAGAGTTTGAAGATCTTGGAAGGTACAGGCGGTTGGTGGGTAAACTACACTACCTAACCATTACCCGACTATATATTTCATATGCAGTTAGTGTGGTGAGTCAGTTCATGTAGAAACCTCGGGTTCCACATTGGGATGTAGTTCGAAGGATTGTAAGGTATTTGAAGGGAGCTCCTGGTCGTGGCTTGATATATAAAAGTGAAGGAAAATTTGAAATAGAGGGATATATTAATGTTGATTGGGCTAGTTCTATATCTAACAGAAGATCCACTACAGGTTATTGTACTTTCCTTGGGGGTAATCTGGTGACATGGAAAAGTAAGAAACAGATAGTTGTGGCAAGAAGCAGTGTAGAAGTAGAATATATAGGTATGACACATACCACTTGTGAATTAGTGTGGCTGAGAAATCTTCTACAGGAGATGGGATATTTGATTGACACTCCAATGAAGCTCTATTGTGACAACCAAACTGCAGTCCACATCTCTTCTAATTTGGTGTTTCATGAGAGAACAAAGCATATAGAAGTTGACTGTCACTTTGTGAGAGAGAAGGTGTTGAGTGGAGTAATAAATGCTGCATATGTCAACATAGGAAATCAATGGGCAGATCTGTTCACCAAAGGGTTGAGTGGATTACATATGTAATAAGTTGGGACTATATGATATATATACTCACCAACTTGAGGGGGAGTGTTGGTGTCGACTGTGTAGGGGTATTTTAGTCTTTATAGTTATGTTTTAAAGCTGATGTGTAATGTTCTGTTAGTTGATGTGTCCCATACTTAAGTAGGGGCAAAGGAGTCTTTTGTTCTTATGGATAGAAATATATAAATTAAATCTGGCCGACTAGAGAGGATTGTGTTCTCTAGTTTGAACCAGAATTTTCTCCTTCTCTATTCTTCTCTCTTCTTCTTCTACTTCTTCTATTCTCTCTAATATCTCTTCAATCCTAATTCTATCAGAATTCTAGTGCAGATTAGGTTTATAATACCAACTAATTGGACCTGTGCCAAGTGTCAATACAAGTTGTATTACTGATATTTTTCCAACTTGCTGCAAATAAAAAATTGAAATTTATGTGTGCAATATCCAAACTCCTTTTGATCTTGTGATTAATGTTACATTTTGAGTTTGTAATTGTAAACTCACAAGTTCATTATTGTATTCTTTTCTTACAAATGTTCCATCTACTACAGTAAATATTTCAATGAATCTAATTTATTAGATAATATTTTGCTTATAAATTGCCTATTTACTGTTCAATATATAATCTTCTGTATAAAAAACTGTTGGTACACTCATCTTAGATAATGCATGTAGCAAGATTTGGATCATTAACTCCTGGACATGTACCAGCACACAAAACCAAATAAGGTAGTTGTCCATGTGGCTGCTATAATAATCATATTTGCATGCGCTTTTTTGTCAATGTTTCCTAATTTTATTTAATTTTTATATATTTAAAAATAAAATTAAGTAAAATTACATCTACTAAACTTGTAATTGTAATTAATTGGCAAACTTAGAGGCCAGTACTTGGTGTAATGGTAAAATCTTGGGCTGGCAAGCGTGAGAATACGGCTTTGAGTTTGAGGGCGGCCACTTTGTGCAGAAAAATGCCAAAGTTTAGAACTTACCCAGTCTACCCCTCACAAGACCCCGGATAACTGGGATCAACATTGGGTGATAGCCTTTCTGTTTGTAATTGGCAAACTTGACTACAATTTTCTAATTACTAACAACCATATGATGATTGTTTCAATTTTTTTTCTCTAAAAAAATCTAGATTCAAACAGCAGCTAATTATAGAAATGATTTAGTTCTAGTCATAAAAAAAGTGTAACTCTAGCTTAAAATATAAATAAAAGATGGAATTCATTAACACAATTGAAACTTGAAGACTCATCAAGAAAGTAAACATAGGACCCAAAAACTGTTTAATAGTAGCAAAAGGATGGAATTCACATACCATGACATCAAATTGCTCAGGCTTTGAAACAAGTTGCATGCAGCAGTTGTCCACAATAATTTCATTGTACATTATTCCAGGATATCTTGTTGCAACTTCACGGCAAGATTCTAAAAATAGACCATCTGCAACCTTCATAATGTTGGCTTTATGCACAGCTGTTACTTTCTTCCTGTTGTTTAGGTAAGCATGCTCAAAAGCATATTCTGCAATCCGCTCTGAACAGAACTTTGTAATCACCTAGAAAAGGGATTGAATAAATGCAATACAATTACAAGCACTTATAAGAAAACCATCTAAGATAACAAGCCTGATAATAACCAAACACTAAAGGAGGATTAGAATTCCATACAAGTACCAGTTGAAAATTCAATACCCATAGAGGGAGAGACTCTAAATATGCAAACTAGCAATTAAAAGAATCAGAGGAAAACATACAAGGCAGCCACCAAATGGAGAAATTGTGATTTTTCTTCCTTTTTATTAGCAACAATATATAGAGATTTTATTAATATAGTGAATAAAAGAAAAATATTCCAAAAATTAGAAAGGATGATAACCAATACAAAAGCCAAAGACAGACAGACAAAAACTCATATACTGCATCAAAGTTTTACAAGTTCACCCCTAAGCCTGATTCCTCCAACCAGATCAACCCTTGTCACCCTTCCCTTGGTAAAGAGTTAACAAGGCCATTGGTTCATCTAAGAATCTGCCAGAGGGACAGACAAAAACTCATATACTGCATCAGAGTTTTACAAGTTCACCCCTAAGCCTGATTCCTCCAACCAGATCAACCCTTGTCACCCTTCCCTTGGTAAAAAGTCAACAAGGCCATTGGTTCATCTAAGACAGACAGACAAAAACTCATATACTGCATCAGAGTTTTACAAGTTCACCCCTGAGCCTGATTCCTCCAACCAGATCAACCCTTGTCACCCTTCCCTTGGTAAAGAGTCAACAAGGCCATTGGTTCATCTAAGAATCTGCCAGAGGGAGCATTTCAAATTGGATGCTAAGTTCCATTCATTTATTCTTTAAGACTGGACTATAAACTTGCAGACAAGGCTCTTGTTCTTTCCTTTCTCTCCCATGAGCAGATGATGACTCTGGCCTTCAAATATGCATTATTGATAAATCTAGCAAGCTTTTATTCTCTTATGATTGGGAAAGAATGGTTGAGATGGACATGCTAGAATCTGGGCTATGACCTACCCGGGGATTTTCCACACAATCAGGTGCAGAAAATACATTATGCATTATTACAATGATCCCTCTCCCTCTATAAATCCTATTAGTTTTTCTCTTCCAAATCCCTGCATTGCATGTGTGCATGTACATATGAAATTCCCCTAGCAACTACTACCCTCTATAACAAGATTAATACAAAACAAAAAGACACATTTATTGAATTCTGCTGATTAGTTCTCACTCAAAAAGCTTTATCCCAATTATATGAGATTGGCTGCGAAGTACACTATCTATTGTTGCTACCCATCCATCTCAATCCTCATAGCCACTACATTATTTTGTGGATGTGGTATTTCTTTGTTCCATGCAGTTGCCCTGTATATGGCATTAAGTGGGGGTGGACCTAGTTATAAGATGCATTTGGACTTTCATGTGAACTAGAATGAAAGTAAAATTTCTAGGCAGGGAAATGAGAAAATTAAAGTATAGGGACACAATTCGTTTATCAGATAACATGGAAATGAGAAAATTAATTAGAAAATTGTGCATTCTGAACTAGTTGATAAAGATAGGCCAAATCCTTTCTTCTTTAGTACAAGAATAATTTAACTTAGTAAGGAAGTAAGATTGGCCAAGTCCTGGTTCTTTTCTCTTTCAGTTCTTAATATGCATAACTTGCTTTGCACCCTTACCCTTTAAAGAATTTCATGGAGATTTGGACCAAATTTTCTGAATAAGATATGACACTAAATTAATGAAGTTTTCTATGTTGCATTTTTCATTTGCTTTTGTTTGGTGAAATTCGGGGCTTTTTTACAAGACCGAAGTGGCTGAGTGGAATGACTTATTGCCTTGTCTTTAACGAATGAGCCATTAAATAGGTTGTGATATCCTTAATGGTTGAATGGAAAGTTAGGTTAATTAATACACCCTTAAATAATTTATTGTATGACTGTTTTATCTACTAAAGGACAAAGCAAAAAGTCATTCAGTTTAGACACTTAAGCTGTTGTCAAATGGTCCCTGAGTGAATGTCAATTCTATGATACATGAATTTACCAGGTAGATTGAAAGAGAAAAACAAGCTATACCAATTGAATTAGATTCCTCCAATGTCCATGAATGACAAAGTTAAATAAATGTCGTGTAAATTGTGAGATTGAAATCTTATGAGGCAAGTTTTGAATTTCTTTTTTTTTGGTAAACAGTTTGAATTTCTTTACATCATGCTCCTTGGTCTAACGAAATTCACATGTTCAAAATGATTGAGAGAGACAAAATAATAAATCAATTTAACAAAGAAAAACATAAGAAACTATAAAACCTTATTTTCCTTGTGGAAATCTCCTTAAAATTCAGCAACTAAATCCATAGAAAACCTTAAAAGTTCAATTTACATGAACTCTGAATACATTGCAAGTACCTTTATTGAAGAACTAGCAGCAGATGCATTGAGCAGAGGGTTAACAAGAGAGGATAAAAGAGAAGCAGAAATGGATCAAAAGGAATACCTTGAGGCTCTCAACTACACCAGGAACTACCTCATGCTCAAGCCCCGAATATTCCCCTTCTGTATTCTCCCGAATCACAACAATATTGACATTCTCATGCCTTGTTGGAAGTCCAGGCAGATTGAAACAATGTACAAGTGATGCATAGATATCAAGTTCCCTTCTCAATTGAACATTCAATGAGCTGACACCTCCTCCAACTGGAGTGGCCAAACCTCCTTTCAAGCAGACCTTATTTTTCTTGATTGAACTGAGCACCTCTTCAGGAACTTCTTTCATATTGCCATAAACTTCATATTTTTCAAAATATACTGGTGCATGCATTGCCTCCATGACCTGCTCAACTGCATTTGTGACAAGAGGACCAATTCCATCACCTGGAATTAATGTCACAGCTCTAGGAGTTCCATCACCAGGTCGGGGCATGTAGGTTACAGGCCTTTTTGGCTCAAAACGTAACCCAAGCCCTAGAACCATAGGGTTGGATGGAGTGGAGGCTGATGACTTTTGAAGGAGTTGCTTCAGAATTGGTATTGTTCGTCTCGCCATGGAAGTTCTTCTATGATTAAGTCTCTAGTTCCACTCTAAATAGTGAAGTAAGATCTAGAGAAAAAAAGTTGAGAAATCCCTCAATGCATTGAAAAGAAATTTAAGTTCTACCAGCACCAACTACCATGAATTTAACTGTATATTATCTATCCAACATCTAATGAAACCATGGAGCTTTCTTTGTGCAGAAAATCTATGAGTTCTACGTCCAGGTAGGGGTGTCCATGAAAAACCGAAAAACCAAACCAAGCTGAGAAAACTGAACCAGAAAATGTGGTTAACCAAACCGATTGGTTCGGTTTCGGTTTGGTATTTTTGAAAAACTGAAGGACCGGTTCGGTTTTCACTTAACCTACAAAAAACCGGCGGTTAACTGAACCGATTGGTATATATATTTATATGTATATTTTATATATATTTTTAATATATGTCACATATTTTCTATATATTATATATAAATATATATATATATATATTCATTATATATATAAATATATACATATATTATATTTATAATAATCTATTTATAAATATATTATATATTTTATAATATTTATAATATATTATATATCATTTATTATTTATAATATAATATTATACATATATTTATATAATATATATTATAAATATAAATAAACAAAAACTGAAGAACCGAACCGGTCAAAAACCGAAACCGACAGACCGGTTAACTGGTGGTACCGGTTCGGTTTCGGTTTGGAGAAATGGAAAAACCAGTGGTACTGGTTTAGTTTATAACCGAACCATGGACACCCCTATGTCCAGGGAATACTGAAAACTAGAATTTGAGAACCCAAAAAGCAGGTGTTGCAACAAAATCCATATTATTCTAGGGTTCCTATTATAGTTATGTTCTAGTTTAAGAGAAATAGATTTCCTAACTCCATGGTTTATTAACTTGTGTATTCTTTTCAACTTTTTCCCTTTTTCCTTTGATTCTGGATAATGCCTGCTTCACTTTCTGGAAAAGAGGTAAAACTGAGCCTGTGATGTTATATCTTGCATTTCATACTTGTTTCTCTTTGTTGCTAATTAGTGAATGCCACAACTTAGAGGAAGAAATAGGCATTGGACTGTCTGCAAGGCACCCAGCTGCCCACACAACCTTCCCGTTGAAATAAAAGAGATCTATGTTAACCATTAAACTAACACTTAACAACAAAGATCAAGCATGCCATAGAATAATACATTTCAGAAAGGTCATTACCGATAGGCTTCCTGCTAATCCAAAACCTCACTGGTCCTGCAAGAAAGCAAGTAAAGCCAGATCCTAATAAAAAATTCTATATCTAATTATCAATATTTAACGACAAATTTGAAACAATCCACTGTATAAATTCTCAGATTCATCTTAGCATACACTTTCAAAGTCAGCACCATATTTCCCAACACAACTAAGAAAAATAGATGGAAATCAATAAGAGCACAATCTAGACCCGCCTTTAACCTTTCAAATATTCTGTTAACGAACTTTAGATAAGTGGATTACCGTTTCCCATTGGATCTAGTTTTCAATCAGAGAGAGAGAGAGAGAGAGAGTAATAATATAACGAAACCGAAGCAGAACAAAAAGAGAAGAACAAGAAGAAGAGAACAAAAATGAAAATGAAAACGTCCAATTAATCTCACTTTCAGACTTCGACGATTCAACCAAAGAACCAAAGCGGAAGTTGTGCACTTTCCATTTCGATGAACCCTTTCCTGTAAGAAGAACGATGCATGAAGAATCAACTTGACAAAAAAAGGGATGCTATAAACAAATGAATTAAAAATCCGGAAAAGTTTTAAATTAATGAGTCCGATCGAATCGATTCCGAAACCTCAAAAGAAAAATGCATTCAATTAATAAGAACTTGTGAATAAAAGATTGAAGATTGATGATCACCTTTCAACGGCTCGGAAGAAAATGACGCAGAAGAGAGAGCTCTGAATTCCGATCTTGAGTTGGGCTGTTGCCTGTGGGCAGAGCAGGGGTTAGAATAATAGCATTCCTGATAAGCTGCATCGGCTCCTACCATAGTAGAATGAGTGAGACAGTTACAATGTACTGTGAGTGTTTGTTTGGTCTCCAAAAGGGAAGCTTATTCATCACCGCTGGTTTGATGAAACTTCCGTCCCTCCCTGCTAACTGCTTAATGCTTTTAGCCTTAATTTTAACTGTTTTTTTTTTTTTTTAATTTAGTAAAATAAAATAGGAAAAATATGAGAATGGGCTGGGCCAGCAGGTGGGTGGTATATTGAGAAAATTGGTTCCCTGTTCCTTCTTCACATTTGGGCTAGATTGAGCCCATCAATGACCAACCTAGTTTTTTCAGCAAGTGGGTAGGAAGGCAAGTGGTATGGGTAGTCCGAACTCGAATCCAAATTCAGTCTGTGTAATTGGATCGAATAAGGAACCACCCCTATCCGGTTCAATATGATCCGGGTTGATTCAATTTAAATATATATGATTATATATACTTAAAATTTTATTATATTGTATGTCAGTAAAATTGGTTTCAATGGTTGTGTTCTTACTAAGGAGCTAGGTTCAAGTTTCAATAAGGTTAGGGGGGGGGGTTGCGTTAGGTTGGCAGTTGGTACTAAAACTTTTTTCAAACTATTATGGTTATAAATCATGATTTGTTTTGTCATGCTCATACCTTAATGAGCATGACAAAACTATTATGGTTATAAATGATGCACCACACGTCTACACCTTAATCCGAGTGTAGTGTAGTGCAAGGTTCAAAATATCGATATTGCCCGATATGTTGGTATGGGCGTATCGGGCAATATCGATAGTACTGGTTGGGGGGGGGGGGTTTAAGGCTCCTCCACCCCCTGAACCGGCCAGAATCCCGATACACCCCATGTAGGGGCGTATCGGGAAGCCACCGGCACGATACGTATCAGCCGATATGGGCTGATACGTATCGATACTTTGAATCTTGGTGTACTGTACTCTGGTGGACAAGGGTATGTTAGAGCAGAACTGAATAGAATGGAATGATGAAATAGGACTCATGTAGCCAATTCCATATACTTACGACAAGGCTTTAGATGATGATGATAAAATCCAAATATAAATAAATCAAATTTAGATCTACCTATATCCAAATTGGATCCGATCCATTTACAGCCCTAAAAATGGGTAATACATTTTGATTGAAGGCTATATACTGGCATGGGCCCACAAGGTTAGCCATCTAATTGTGCAAGGGTGCATATATATGCATGGGTTAAATCTTTCGGCCTGTGAACTACTCTTGGCCGGCCCTCTTAACCTATTAATTAAGGGGACGGGCTTAAGAGTTAAGGCTAGCTTGTTAGGCCCAATGGGCCAAATAAAGCCCATTTGTTATCAACTAAAGGCACAGGAGGGCTTATCTCAGCACATGGAACTCTTAGTGCCCGTTTGGAAGGACCGAAGCGGAATTTCTGGCTTTCTGAGGTGATTCCTACACGGACAGCATAAGCTACATTTGGTAAAAACTGTGAGAACCCAAATTGGCTGTAGCTCAGCCATCCCAAACAAGCCTTTAGTATTAAGCCCTTCAATGCCTACCATAAATAAATAAAATGTGGGCCTCACTGACCTCCTGATATTAAGCTCTGTTTCTGCTTTTCCACGTACATCTCACATGCTTTTTGTTGCCCATGACCTCACTTCCCTGATCAATGTAAGCAATGGACCTCACCTTTCTTGCCCAAGTGACAATTGCAGCCAAATTCTACATTCTTTCTTTTAATCTGAAAGTGCCCAAAATGGAGGGCTGAATTTAGATATAAGGGTTTTCAAGCTAAAGCTTGCTTAACCAATGGTGGAGAGGGGACCCCATGAAATAGTTGTGGTTATTTGGATTTTAGACCTTTTTCTCTGAACCACTCAAATGGTAGAATCAGAGTTCAAATCAGCCCCCCACAAGATTACCTCCCACAACGTCCCACAGCATATCTCCGCGGTGTATTAGAAACATCTCCCAATGTTGACATCATTATTTTTGGGATTGTCATTGGGAGATGTTCCCAATACACAGCGGGGATGTGCTGTGGGACGTTTTAGGAACAATCTTGTGAGGGGCTGATTGGTCTCGTAAAATCATTCCTATTTTTGTATTTTCAAAACCAAATATGTTCAACTTCTACATGAGATATAGACTGTTTTTGGTTGCATATGCAATAAAGGAAAATAAATAATTTCTTTAGAAAATGATATTCTATGGGTTAATAGCGTTATATCAATCAAAATCAGGATCCATGACCATGAAAGTTTGGCACAATTCTCCTTATGCATATCCAAACTTGGGACTGACAGTGTAAGACAAGTTCTCACATTAACGGAGTTATCTCGCTTAAAATAATGACTACGCACAATAAGATGATCTTTATCCATCCAATCAGGATATTATCTATATAACTTCTCTTTGGGTTTGGGTTTTATAAAATGGGTCAAAATATATGATTGCAACCTGAAACAAAAAACTTGTAACTAGTGGTAAAACAGTGTGTCCAAGTTGAATCTTTTACTTTGTTAAAGTCTTCACATCTTATGAAATATGAATCAAATGAAAAGTAATTAGACCATATAATATCTTTAATTGGTTGAAATTTTGATTTAAATGCATCAAATATTTGAAATAAAACTTGACTGGACTCATAAAATGGACATAAATTATTTTAGGCTGTATTGATGTCATATTTCAACAATATTTCTACACCTTTTTCTAGCCATTACTTTCTTATTAACAATACAATATCACATCATTAACCATTTTGGTGTTTTCACATAACTCTTTTTTTTTTTTCTAGAACCAACGTTTTAAAAAACGACCCGGAAAAGGAATCATTTTAGCCACCGGTTTTCGAGTTGATGGTCCAATCGTCCGGTTCGAATGGATGGCTTGTTTTGACAAAAAATTAAAAAAAATAAAAAAATAATTAAAAATAAAAACGTCAAAAAACCATTGAACAGGTCAATGTTTCGATCGCCCTAGTCAATGGGCTGTTGACTTTTTTAACGGTTTTTGGCCAAAACCGGGTTTGAGATAAAATGGAACATATTGCCTACACGATTCCCAAGCCGAATGGTCTAACCGTTCGGGTCAACAGCGGTTCAAAAACATTGTCTAGAACAATAGTAGCGGGACTCTTCACGGGGACAAATCAACCAATATATCAACTGAGCTACCATGATAATGTTATCTATATGAATTCTTAACACCTCCAGTGGAGTGAACATTCGAAAAATTATCCCGTTCTCGCCACCATGGCACGTGATCTACTAACCCCTATTGTGTCTACAGTTTCATCAGAGTCTTGTTTTAGTGCAGGTACCAGGGTGCTCGATGACAAAAGAAGCTACATGAACGATGAAAGCATAGAGATGTGCATCTGCTTCAAGGATTGTGTAGATACAGAAGATAGATTACAAGACAAAGGAGGGCATGATACTACACTAGATATTTCACCCGAAGCAGATGGTGAAAGTCATAAATGATGATTCATGAATTTGACTACTTGTATAGAATTTTTTATTTTTTCAAATTATTGTATATTTTTTATTTTTTAACAATGTAATTTTGTATTTTCAATTTGTAACCATATTATATTTTTTATATTTTATTAATTTATTTTATTTTCATAATTCATTCATCCAAGTATCCAATTATCCAATCATTGTATTTGTAATTTGTACTGTTCAAATTTAAATGAAATAAAATTCCTATTTTTCTTCCAATTTGTTATTCCATCATTCTTATTTCAATTTGGTTAAGCACTTTTTTTTTTCATTTATGTGTTAGATAACTTAGATTTCTCATTTCTTAATTTTTTAAATAGTTCTCAATTCCCAAAGTTCAAAGGAAAGTTAAATATTTTAGTTTTACAATTTTACTTAGAAAAGAAATCAAAATTAAAAAAAAAAAACAGTGCAGCCCGGTTCAGCCCAGGCCCAAGGCCTGCCTTGTGGCCTGGCCTGGCCTGGCCCGGCCCAAGCCCACAGCCCCGGCCCAGGCCCGTAGCATGGCACGAGCCCGCCTGGGTCTGGCCCGTGGGCCGTGTCGGGCCGACCCCTGAAATTTCCACCGGAGAGGGTGGCACGGCCTGTGACGGCCCACCTTTTGAGCAGGCTGCCCACGGGCCAACGACATGGCCCACTTTACACCTCTATGCTTGGAGAAATAATTTACCCCTAGTCATTTATTTATTTTTGTGGTAAGCATGGATGATCTTAATACTAAGTGGTTCATTAGCTGATTCGAAGCCCTCTTATGCTTTCAGTTGAACGATCTGATTGAAAGAGATCCAAATTTAATCCATTTGTGGTGGGTTAAATTAGGGATGCAATTTGGGGCAGATCAACCCAAAACTGTACTAATCCAAACTAAGCTTTTGCACGGATTGGGTTGGGCTTTTTGTGCCTTAGGTTGGCCTAGGCCTGGGCTTGGAAGGTTGGGCATTTTTATTTCTTAGGCTGGGTTTAGGTAACCTCAGCAGGAGATTGGCTTCCATCAGGGAAATCCTGTGCCCACACAGTTTCAACTGCCTTTTGCAACTTTGCATTGAGAATATCTTCTTATAAAATTGATGAAGGTGATTTGGCGCGACCTAGCAAGAAGGGGACACGTGGACATGACCTTACTAAGGGGTGACAGTTCAGCCTAGCAAGCCTAATTCGCAATGTTTGAGCTCAGGTGTTCGGTTGCCTCGACACAAAATCACCTCGGCGTCGGAGCACCTCAGCATTCAATCCAGTTCAGAACTAAAAAATCAAAGTATCAGCTCGGGGTTACTGACCCGAACCTCCACGTAACGACTCCGAAAGTTTCTCCAGTAGACTCCGAACCTCACTGGATCACGCCGCATAACGGCAAGCCTAATCTTCTCCCCGTCCGGATCAGGAGGAATTGATAAACTTTATTAATTGATACACTACTCCCCAATTAAAGCGGAAACGAATCCCCTCAGGACGAAGA